TCACTTTTGCCCTGACTCAGAGAGGGTGTTTGTGTGAAGGGGCTCCAAAGTTCATTTTGGTTTCAGCCAGGTCATCTGGCTGCTTCTGGCCCCGGTTTGCTTTCATTTTCCTGCGCCCTGTTCTGCCCCCAGCCTGGACTTGCTCAGATTTCATGGGAGAGGCTTGGCCCTTCTGTGAAGGAACCTTTGGGGCAGGGGACCGCCCCTTCCCTCCGCAGCTCCCATGCTGGCAGTGGCCTGTGCCCGTCTACCAAGGGGGGGAAATCCCGGCCAGAGCCAGCCGCCGACAGTGTGAGTCTGTGGGAAAAGCCCTTCTTTTCCCCTTTCCCCTTTCCCTTCTTGATGAGGGGAAAGATCCCCATTTTCGGCTTCTCCCGCACACTGGGGCCCCACGCAGTGACCACCAGAGCCCAACAGTGCCTCCTGCTGACCGTGGTTAGAATTGCGCCAAAAGGCGGAAAGTACTGAACTGTTTTCTTTGTAGGGAACTTTGGGTGCAGGATTATTGTTTGGTTGTTTTTGTGTTCTCTTTTTGTTCTGCCAGTACACATATATCCTTTGATAAAGGGCTGTTATCTTTTTGTTTCTCCATACTTCCTCAGTTGGAGCCCCTTAATTTCGGATTTACAATCGCTTACTGAGAGGAGCTTGGTTTTCCTCATAACTCATCATCCTTAGCAAAACACTTCAGTCTCATTAAACTGAGACAGAGCCCAAGGGTTTTGTCAGCTTGAGCACAGCCCACATCCTTGCATTGCTTCCTGACCTGCGACATAAGAAGGATGATATGAACAGAGAGCGTGCCTTCAGCTCTTAGATAGGAAACCAGTCACATGGAATTTGAGCACAAAATAGCACTTTTTCTTCTGATTCTGTAGCAAAGCTGTGTTCAGCAAATTGGACTCAGTACTACCTACCTACAGAACTCTGTAAGGCCTTTGGCATGGTCTCACATGACATCCTTATCTCTAAACTGAAGAGATATGGATTTGAATGGTGGACTATTTGGTGGATAAGCAATTGGCTGGATAGACACTTCCAGAAAGCTGGAGCCCAGTGATGAGTGCTGTCCCTCAGGGCTCTGCCTTGGGACTGGAGCTCTTTAAGACCTTTATCAATGACATAAGACAGTGAGATTGAGTCCACCATCAGCAAGCCTGCAGCGACACAACAGAATGAAGGGATGCCCTCCAGACAGATCTGAACACACTCTAGAAGTGGGCCCATAAGAACTTTATGAAGTTCAACAAGTCCAAGTGCAAGATGCTTCACTTCAGTTGAGGCAATCCTAAACATGGCACCCTGGCTTGGATCAGAAATAGTGTTTCCAGCAGGACTAGGGCAGTGATCATGCTCCTGTACTCAGCACTGGTGATGCTGCATCTGAAATCCTGTTTTCAGTTTTTAGCCTCTCTCTGCAAGAAACACATTGAGGTGCTGGAGAGAGTCCAGAGAAGGACAATGAAGCTGGTGAAGGGTCTGGAAAACAAGTGTGATGAGGAACAGCTGAGGGAGCTGGGGTTGTTTAGCCTAGAGAGAAGGCTCAAGGGGGAGACTTTATCACTCTCTACAGCTTCCTGAAAGGAGGGTGGGAGAGTGTAGTAAGATAGGGGTCAGTCTCTTCTCCCAGGTAACAAGTAAAAGAACAAAAGGAAATGGCCTCAATGTGCACCAGGGGAGGTTTAGATTAGATATTAGGAAAAACTTCACTGAAGGGGTGATCAGGCATTAGAATAGGCTGTCCCAGGAAGTGGGTCAGTCATTTCCATCCCTGGAAGTGTTCAAAAAACATGTGGATTTGGCACTTGAAGAGACATGGGCTAGTGGGACAGTGTTAGGTTAATGGTTGAACTCGTTGATCTTAGAGGTCTTTTCCAACCTAAATGATACTATAATTCTATGTTATATATATATTTATATAATGTTATTTTATATTTTTGTATGTCCATATTTTTGCACGCATATATGTATTTATAGTTACACGTATATATCTATATATGCACAGACATGATGTATAAATATATATTTTGTTAGCTTTTAAAAGCTTTTCTGGCCAGAAACCTTTAAGGGGTAATACAAGTCTTCTCTTACACAAATGGAGTCTTCTCTTCAAAAGCTTCAACCTGTGAAGAGACATAGTCATTTCTTGCCAATTTGCTTAGATGTAGCATACTGCTGAGAGATGTGAATAGGAGAAAGGAAATGTCATCAAGATATACCATCAGAAAGCAGAGGTCTTTCATGACTCTCACCGAATTTCTAAGTAGCCAGTGTCTTTGAGGGACCTTGGTCTCGTTTTGACCTGCTCGATTTGAATACACACTGCTCAGATCTGCAGCATATGGCCAAGTTGAAAGACTGCATCTCCCTGCACAGTTTCCTTTGCAGACATCAGAACATCCCAGAAAACTGTTGTGAAAATCGAAGTACAGCCTTGGGAATAACCACATTGGCATCACTGGCTATCCTGCTTGATTTATTCTGTACCAGTGTAATGAATGGGGCCAATCTGCCACTGGTAAAGCTCTCCTGATATCAATGAACTTAGAACAGGAATTAATTTGGTCATAGAAGTTAGCTGCAATGTGCCATTATTTCAAGAGTAAGATATAGATGGAATAAATTAGATAGTTCTATTTCTTTGCATGGTTAAAATAAAACAAGAATGCTAAACAGGCTGAGAGAGCATAAGGCATGAAATAAAATATGAAACTATCCTAATTACTGTCTGCCAAAAAACATCAAGTTAATTAGTAGTCATAAAATTATGTAAAACAGGCAGTGGACAATAACAATAAGAGGAAAATAAAACCCCAAGCCAACTATCACCTCATGAATTTTTGTAGGAGAAGCCAGTGATCACTACAGGAGTTTTAAGATCTCTTTTCAAAAGCTGAAAGGTACTGAAATGCCTTAAAAAATCCCACCCTGCCACACTGTCTTTTCATTCCAAATTTACTTTCATTGCTGTAGCCTTGTGCTCCAAAAGACGAACTGTCTTAGTAGCAGAGGCTGCTACATGAGAACCAGCACTCATCACTCTGCCCGACAAAAAATATTACGCAGGAGATTGGACCCTTTCCCTTCCGAAGCTCACAATTTATTTTAATGCTCAGTAAAGCATCCTTCAATGCTGCCTGCAGGAATGTGGTTTCTTTTCCGTGAATCTGGTTGTCTTTCTGTTGAGACAAAACCAGAGAAACCCGTTGTTCCCTTTTTGTTACGCGGATTCCCCAAGCAGGGCTGGCTGACTGCCAAAATCATTGGTCCTTCAAAGGTGTGGGTGAGCAGCAGAGGCCACAGCAGGAAACCCCACGATGCTGCCAGCACACACCCACATAAGACAGGTGGTGAAAAGGGGCTTCTTTCCATCAGGAAGGACACCATCAAGATGTGGAGGAGGGAGAGAGACAAGGGATATGCCCCTTGGAGCCATCAGCCTCAAGCTTCTTCAGGAACACCTTGAGGAAATCCCCTCAACCAGAAATGGGAAGTCTGGGGCTGGCTTTGGTCGGCTTCCTTCTTCCCTCAGAGATTCCACAGAAGTGTGTATACCATCTGTCATCTTGGATCACACTTTCCCTGCTACCAGAGACCTTTCTGGGCTCTGGAAATGAAAGAGCAGAGCCCTGTTGCACAGCTGCAAATGCAGCATTCAAAACCCGCTAAAAATCCATACTGAGGCTCTTTTTTTTTTCAGTTGCATGTGACACTGGATGCTTCCATTATATTCTTTGAAGAAAACAAATGTAAAGTAGGAAATTGGATTAGAATTGTTATTTTGTATGCAAGGTTACAGCAGTCAAAGAAGAGGACATTCAGGCTGCCTACAAACCCTGAAGTTGTTCACTATGCACAGATGTTCTTGCACATATGCCTTTAGACTTTCATTATCCAACAACATGATTTTTTTTTCCCATGGTACTCTTCATGGTTGCCCTCATCACTGCACAACTTTAGCACACAAAGAAAGGCTGAAGAATATATAGGTGATGTAAAATCTCGTTAGTCCTAAATTTCAGGCACACTCAATAACATGAGTCTACTTTAGTAGGCTTTGAATGCTATTACAGTGGATGATATTTCCTCATTGAAAAAACAACAGAGGTACAAAAAATCATAATCATTCCTCAGCTGTAAACCAACTAAAACCACCCATAGATTCCCAGGTGCCATTTAGCAACAACAACAACAACAACAAAAACAACAAAAATCTGGAAATTGGTCTTGCTCCATCCAAATAAATTTTTGTCATTTTCCAGATGAAGAAATCATTTTATATTCTACAACTTGTTTTCACATTGGCACATGGAAACAGTTCTGGAGCAATCTCGGAGCCAGAAACACAGCTGGAATCACACAGAAATCTGTGCTGCTTTGCATGATGACAGAGCAAACAAAATCCCACATCTCCCCCATGAACAATGTACCTGGAGGTAGTAAGAGAGAAGCTACTACAAATATGGTCTCCATCACAAAAACCTCCAGCTGTACTGGCTGGAAACACATCATTTTGGTGACTTTTAGTACTACTTCAACATATTAGCAATCAAAGAACATTGTTATAGCATTTAAAACAGAATAAACTTCACCATGTAACAGGAGTGCTTTACATTGAAATGTCAGTCAACACTTTTCATGCCTTGTACTAGATTTTTGGAACTCCTGGTTCGAAGGATTTAGGATGAAAATCTGAAAAGGAGGTTCATCCATCACACTATTTCAGCATGTTACATCTCAGTGTTCAGGAACAGTCAGCCAGGGGAAACCTACAGGCATTCCTTTCTTCTTGCCCAGACCTTGTGAATTTTCACTCAAACCTTCTCAAGATATCTTCCCTACTATTCTTACACAGGGATGCATCCTACACACAAGCAGGACCTACTGAAAAAACCCCACAAACACACCCAACCTTCTCCACAAGAAGAACTTCTGGGGAACACCCCCCTTCCCCCAAAAAGACAAGAAACAGAAGAAAAAAAGAGTAAGGTGTTACTTACTGGTTAACACAGTGATTGATCTTGCTGACTTGGAAACCATATTTGAGTTCACTACCAAGAGAGTTACTATGTAATACAGGCCATGGTATTTGGCATTAAAAACAACAGGGGCAGGTAAAGTGCTATTGAATTCTTCGAACTGGAAAAAGTAGTTCTTGGATTCTCCGGCTATCTTCACAACATATACAGAGGACGAGCTCACCACATCAGATGCTTCCAGGGAGACAATGATACAATTGTCTTCTCGGACAGTAACTTGGAAAGGTTCTGCATTCTGCAAGACAAGAATAAAGAGTCTGCTGAAGTAAAATAAATTATTTTGCTTTCACGCATTTCCCAAAAGATCATAAGATACTCATATTATATTTGCAATAAAGTTACATTTTGTATTCCCTGAGAGAGTTTACATAAAATCCTAGCAATTATTTCAGACTACAATTCACAGTCAGCCACATAGTTCACAGGCACTTGATTATCAGGCCAGTCTCTCTGCAGCACAGGCTGGATTCTGCCACGTGCTTTCTGATGCTCTGGATACTTCATTCCTTACATCCCGAGGAACAAAGCCCCTGTCATTCTTTCCTGACAGAAGGTGAAGTGGAGCAGAAGAAAGATAAGATTGAAAAAGAGTGTCAGGGCAAGAGGATTTCCAATAAAGTCTCAAAGTCATTTAAATCCTGAAAAACATATTATTAAACCAAGACTCCTTTATCTTGCAGAAACGGGATCATATATTCCTCACTGTAATATATTCTGAAAGCCTACAACTGCAGAATAATTCTTGGCACTGACTAAGCTTTTCCAATTATGCCCATTCCAGCAAGTACCAGATGATAAGCAGCTCTCAGCACTATGTCCATAGTTTTGGCTGGTGCTTTTCACTTCCTAAGCTACAGCATTTCATTTTCAATATTTCTTTTATTAGTAGTAGAGAGAAAAGAGCAATTTAACCTTGTTTCCATGTATCATGAGCATGTTAAGTCATCGACAGCTAAAAACCCTTTCCTTTTTATTAATTTCAAATCAGCTACCAGGAGAAGTACTTGTTTCAAAACAGATTCATGGTAACTAATGAGAAGGAAAAGTTGAAGCTTACATTAAGAGTTTCGTCTTTGTTTATTAGACTGCACCACTCCTTAGAATTTTTTTAACCTCCGTGAAAACTGTAATATCTGATATTTTCAGTTCCCAACTCTACAGTATCTCTTTCCCCTTCATCTTCACAGGCTGAGCTCTCAGGGCAGGGTGGGAACCCATAGCTAGTTTGCAACTTATTCAGTCAAGTTCTTTCTGTACCAAAAAGCTCGATACTTCCTTCAGAGATTAATTCTAGCAGCCTGGCTACCTCCTGCCTTATTGTAGTTTTGTTTACTGGGGATTCTTCCAGGAGAATAATCTTTCTGGGATTTATGCTGCAGGAGCCAGGATCCCTATTTTGAAATCACACATATGGTGTTGCCAACTCCTGGCATTCAAAAAAAAAACCCCAGCAACAACAACAACAACAACAAAACTCCCACCAAGAACAAAGCATTTGTTCTAGGAGTGTAGGATTTTAAACAACAGTAGTTCATCTTTTCACATATTTATGCTGTTATCATTGGGATTTGACATTTGCAGTGTACCTAAGGCAGTATCATCCTACAGGCAAAACTATAGACTTGAGAAAAAGGACCTAAGGAAACCCACTCATCTGATCCAACATGAGGACAAGGCAACAAGTCCGGCCAAAATTGGAAAACTTCTCTAAACAGCTTCAACCCTTCAATTACAAACAGAGGCAATGCAACTTTAACTCCTGATTTGAGGTTTACTTTGATTAGTCTTTTTAAAAATTACTTTTAAGTTGTTAAAATTCTATAAGCCAATGCTATCAATGGAAGAATATTTTGGTGCAGAAGCCTGGGTAGTAGTTGACAGATGGCAGAGCAACTGCTCCAAGAGATTTACAGGGTAAGGCTACAATTATGTAAAAGCTTCCATGTGTTCTCCTTAGCCTCACCTGAATTCAACAGCCTGACCCTTGAGCAGATCAAAACACCACAGATCAAGTGGTTGTATTTTGCCTAAAATCCCAGTCTAGCATTTCAGTTCACACAGATTCAAACATGTTTAGATCCAGTCAAAAACAAGCAGAGGTTCTCTTATCCTCCCTCCTCCCCATTTTCTGTGCACTGAGGAAATGTGGAATGAATCTTACTTCAGCCCTCCTGATGTGGGAAGACAGCAAAAGAAAGCCACACAGGAACTGGCTTATCAGAAGCATGTGTGTCATTGTATCACAGAAACCAAGGCTGTCTTTGAAGACCAAGCAAGGACTCAGCAAGGTTATTTCTACATATTAAGCTTGAAGTGCATGTATAATCCCATAGAAGTCTGTGGGTTTTGACCTTCCACAGACTTGCATTTGAATGCTTCACTAAAGGAAAAAGAATGCTGTTATCTCTAAAATTACTCTGGCCTTCCCTCGGCCTTGCCACTGAACCACATGGTCCTAACTCAATGTGCCTACCTGGCTGTGAAGAGACAGCCAAAAGTGCCAAACAAAATTTATATGTGCAGCAAACAGTTCAAAGCAAGTTCCTTGTAGTTGGTTGTATTATAAATCATTTGTGATGTTAATTGAGTACAGCTGGAAATTAGGCATATAATTGCGGAGTCATAGACATTCCTAAAATATAATCTGATGCTTTCAGAGAGGGCTCATATGGGTTGTGATTTTATTCTTTGATTCCTCCATGGGTATTGCATTAACCATGTTGAAAACTGTGCTTTCATTTTTTCCCCTCTCAGTATTTTTGTGAATCCACAGCAAATACCACTGAAAAATGATTCACTAACCTTCTTGAACAGTCCTCGCACAATTGGCATAGAATGCCTCTGCTAGCTAAATAAAACCTCTCAGACAAACGCTGTGGTTACCTACGACAACATCTGACTGGGGTAAATAAATAACTTTTTCTGAGTCCTTTATGACCTTAAGCACGTGGGGACTGTGAAATAACTTCCCTCCTCCGTATCTAGATGCTCTTGAACCACTGCTGCCATGATATACAGGCATTTTTTAAGTGACATCTCTATAGTAGCTGCGTGCCTCGTCCATCCCATGCCTGTGCCCACCAGCATAATGCATCCCTCTCTTGAGTGGTACCTTTTCAGTGATTATTTGTCCCTCTTCCACATCACTGTGTGCTCACAGGTTTTAAACTGCTGCATGCATGGGACACATGGTTTGTGGGAGACATCTGTTGCTCATTGTCCATAGGCTCTTGAAAGAGCTCTTATCAATTAATTTTATCTCTAAGGTTTGGATTATAGAATGAAGTGGCAGATAAGGGATGGATAAAAAGACTTGACAATTAACGTGTCATAAGATGAAATCTCCTTTGGGATTTGAATTTGACTTTGGCAGCTTTTTAAAAGAACAGACCATTCTGGTCATCCTGTTTTCCACGTTGTACAAGGTGAGGGTTACCAGAGAGAACTGGGCTGGTGATTTTGAAAGGAAGGCTAGGAAAAAACCTGAGCATTTTTCCTAAGCACCGCTGGAAGTGACAAACGTGCCCCACTTAACTAGATTGTAAAGCCAGTGTGTCTTAAGACTGACAGCATCAGTATGGTAAATACACATTTCATTACTTCTGGTCAGCTACCTCCAGGATTTAATTTGCTGGTGTCACAGCTTGAGCGGCTGTTTCATGCCTGTGGGGAAATTTGGCAGGGCTTGTGCATTCAGAACCAAATGATTAGCTCCTACTTCCTTCCTAGTTTATTATTACAAGCTCGTGCCATGATAAAGTACTTAGAAACTGAAAAAGAAGGGGGGGAGTAAATCCCACAATGAGAAGCCTGTTCACAGTAATTTTCAGCTCAGGGATGAGTCATGCTAGTGGAATTTCCAGCCAATAACCAGGTCCCAATTAAAAAAAAAAAAAAAAGGAAAGGGAGGCAAGGAGATATACAACATGTGAAATAAACAATACTCAAAGAGTAATAGGAAAATAAATGGTGTGCAGCAGAGCTCAGGGTTCTCTTTTCAGAAGTCTATATCCTCAGTTCATTTCCTTTTAACAGAATGAGGAAGAGCTCAAAGTTGCAAAACTACTAATTTTAAGTACTCTAGCTTTTGAATGTCTCACTCTGAAACACATTGTGCCAGAACCCAATTACCAGAAGTGCAAGTAGTTACATGTTGTGCTGTCTTTAGGAGGAGCTGTGAATGCTCATCAGCTCTGTAAAATTAAAGTACTGGTGACTGCATCATGTTGTGTAATGCTAAACAAGTGGAACTAAAATCCTGAACAAATCTGACTTTTGTCAGCTCTTACAGAGTAAATCCTGCAGTATCACAGTGTTTTAAAGGGGGCATCTGAAATCCCCAAAGCTATGGGGGATCTACTTCTTAGGAATCATTATAATCACCTGCTGTATAATGCTGGACAAAAACAACATCAATGCAATTACTACAAGAAAATATTGAACACTAAATCCAGATCTCTTGGATGTGTTGGAAATACTGGTTATTTCGTGAGTGCTTCTACTACACTCATATATTTTCTTCTGGTGGCCAATAATGTTAATTTCGTTCTAAATCATATGATGATTCATTCTCACCACGATTCACCTTACTTGATTTTAGGTACTTAAATGGAATGACTAAGAGCCAGGATGACCTTTTCAGGCAGAGTACCTGTGGATTCATCTGAGATTGGAATGACTTTTGAAAGTGCACTGAAAGCCGAAGGGACTGTGGTCCCAGCCTGGCAAAATTCCTGCAGTCCTCTGTCACTGGCTGCAGCAAGTCCAAGCCTTACAACAAAGATGGATTGGCCACGATCTTGGCCTCTGCTCTAGTCTTGCAGAGGTACCTCCACAGAAAGTACCTAAGAAATAAATAGTATTGCAAAACATGTCTCTTTGGAATTGCTAACTATCATGCTTAGATCCTACAGTTCAGGTAAAAACATCCTTACAGAATTTAGGGAGTACATCCTAAGCTTTCCACACGTTGCAGTGAATTCTGGAGCAGTCATAGACTTGAGTGCCAACTCCCAGAAGAAAGGATTGTTTGAAATGGTCTTCAAGAGCCTGAACAAAGATGTTACAGCCTTGTAACAAAAAATGTAAAGACTTCTTGAAAATAAGGGTATTTATTTCTGGGGCTCTTGTTTTTATCTACGCATCTCCACAGGTTGTGTAGAGAACGTCCCTTAATAAATAGTCTTTAAAAGAAATACTCCATGGGAGAAATGCAAACCCAGATATTCAAGATTT